ACCTTGCCATCGATTTTAAAAGATGAAATATCAACCCGCAGAAGTTTTATTCGAATAAAAAGACAGTACTCCGAAATTTGTGCTTTCAGTGTATGTTTGGAGATATGGTAGAAGCGCAGCTATACCTTGTCGTAGTGTATTCTGGGCGAGTCTGTGAAAAGGATGTGACCATAATGTCGTTTATACAGCATATGACCACATCACTAAGAGGATCAAGTCTGTTTTTATCGCTAAAGAATGCAGCCAAATAGGTTGCTTCTCGCCATACTTTTCATGGTTGTTGTGCTTTACTGGCTCTTGTATGTTTGAACTATTTACAGTTGCCAAGTTGCTATGACTATCGTCAAAATAAACCTTTTTTTGATGTCATTCCATAACACTTTACTGATTGGAAGCCTGACAATCACATTGTTTAGAGTGTAACAAAGTGGGCACTTTTCCGTTAGACGACACGGGATCAAAAACCGATCTTTTCGCTAGACAGGAACTTTCCATAAAAGTCTTAGTAACCATTCGAAAGCCTTAAATTCCCTAGCTAGCGCCTTACGTGGCCGGTTTTCTGGAAAGTTTTTTTATAACGCTTCAACAGAGGGGAAATTTTGTGTTTCATGTTTCTCACAGGATAGACCTCTTCACGTGGCCTATCGGCAACTATTCCATAGCGTAAACTTCCACGATTTCATAACTGTGTTCATTGCCTGGAACAACCTTTTCACTGCAGCGTAGCAGGGAGAATAGGTCGAGTTTCACATCATCAGCGTGCTTATTCAACGGCTAGTCTACGGTCGGGGTGTGTGCTCTCCATAGATTCAATGCGGCGGCCCCGTCATCGACTGGTCAATATACGTCCTTAAATCATACAAAGTGCGATTTTTATTGTTCGATCAGGAATTTTTTCTCCGCTTTGGATGAAACTCCAGATTGGACGCCTGACTCTGGTACTAAAGGATTTTCTCTGCACGTTCATGTGCTTTTCGTGCTTCCAGCAAGGTCATGAATGAATTGCGCAACAGATGTAGAACACAATTTTACTTTGAATTTTACGCGTTATTAAAAAAAAACTTCTCGAAAAACGGTCATATGCGGCGCTAGCCAGAGACTTAAGCTTTTGAACAATGACTAACACTCAGTAATGTAGAGCGATGTGCAAAACTTTCGCGTCAGGTGGGACTAGAACCAGCACCTCACTCTATCCGGGAGCGCGTGCTCTAACCCGTTACACTACTGACGCCCATTTTGCACACCACTCTTTCTACAACACCTTCGGCTTCGATTCCTCTATATGTATGGGGTATATCATTTTACAAGGAAGCACCGAGCTACTGATGAGGATCGATGGCCAAAACATGTGCCTAGCACTACATAAGTGCCATGACAAACCTCATGAAAGGCTTAGAATATTTTATCATATATTGTTCCATGCGAGGTTTCAAAAAACAGTTGAATATAAAGATAACCAACTATTGCCAAGGCGATATATTAATTCTTAATGGTCAAATTTGGAGAATGTCATCGAGTTTTTGGCTCAAATCACGGTCTCTCGTCAGTGTTTCCTTTATTGCAAGTAGTTTTGAATCGATACGTTTTATCTCATTTTGCAGAGTAACCAGCTCACAAATAATCTGTAATCAATCAAACTCATGAACGTCAAGTGGTGTGCAAAAAGATTGACATAAGCGGTAGTTGAACCTGGTTCTAGCCACACTGCGAACACGTCTTATCACTACACCATCAATGCCACCGCTCCGGCACCACACTATCGCCGATGTTAACCATCTGGTTTGATCTGGTAAGCACCTGCTGAAGGTTGGTTGCTGCCAGGAGATAGGGTATATCGAAGCAAAACTAGCAAATCGGTGGCATCGGTGGTGTAGCAGTAGCGCGCGCCGGCGATATGGCTGAAACTCGAGTTCAACTTCCGCCTGATTCAAGTGTTTTCCACATAACTCAACACTATGGTTATATTTGCATCACCATACAACTGCTCAAAAGCAGTAAAAATAAAGAAGACTGTCTTAAGCCTAAACGAGATTGGTACGCCAGGGCCATACACCGGTGTTTCGGAGTTTTCGGCCTCCTTGTCAATGACTCCCGCCCCACATTAAGCCCTGCACTGAAGCAAGGAGGGAGGCGCATGTGGTGATGGCATAGTGTACAATGACACTGGTCCATCACCACTTTTTCAGTCGATGGATTTCGGCCGTTAGATCAATATTGATCCATAAGATCGACTGTTCATGAAACCTCGCAATAAACTTTCAAATTAATTCCAAAAAGAATGTCTAGAGCCTAAACGAAGCTGGTACCTCCTTACTACAATGCAGGGCTTAATGTGCGACGGGGGTCACTGACGAGGAGGCCGAAATCTCCGAAACACCGGTGTATAGCCCTGGCGCACCAACGTCGTTTAGGCTTTAGAATTTCTTTTTGGAATTGTTTTGAATGTTTATTGCGAGACTTCAAAAACCGTCGATCTTATGGATGAAGAAGACTTTACATTTTATAAGTTAGTGAGCTGGTTAGGTGCTTGTGTAACGGAGTTCACCTTCACTAAGTTACCTGCAAAGCTGAATGTATAGTTCTTCTGGCTTCCTTCGCTGATGATGGCTCAAGAATGCCAAACGGTCGAAACCTTGGAATCAAGGGTTTTGTGGTTTCTTGCTGCTCAACTTTTGCATCAGAGCTCTCATCTTTACGATGACGAAGCTGAAGATTTCACAGTCGGCTTATATAGTCAAAGTAGATGGAAACAAAACTCAAAGTCACCTCAGTAGCGTCGTTGCCCTCTTTATCCTTCATTTGCGAACCATCGACCAGCTCGAATTTCCCTTCGTTGAGGAGAACTCTGGACAATAGAATGAAAGTTTTCTCTACAACTCTTTAAACCATTCGGGACCAAGGACTCAACCGTCTGCGTCTCTAGCCCCCAGTGTGTTGCGTTTGTCAGTGCCGTCTAACCTCAGTGCGCCATTGTTAGACGCGACACGCTGGGGTAGGAAAGCAGAAGGTTGGGTCCATGGTCCGGAAGGGGTTAATTCTTAGATACTATCCACTTGTAAGGAGAGTCTGTTTCGCTCAAAACAAAGATAAAAGGCAAGAATTCCATGATAAGTAGATATCGCCCCACGTTCTTACCTAACACTTGGTTCCAATGACTGAACATTGATATTGTAGAGAGTTGTGAACGACAATCCTCGAACTGTCCTTAAAATTAAATCCTTCGTGAACATGACAATCCTCTCCAGCTTTATTTAAAAAGTTCCTTTAACCCTTTGGAGACCGCCAATGATAGCAGTAGGCGACGCGCTGGTCGCTTGCGCGGCAGTCGCGGGTGGACAGCTCCTGCAGATGTTGCCTGCTTGCCGTGCCCCGAGACATGACGCCTCCACTACAGTGGCTGATTGAGATGCGACGTCGCGTGGCGTGACACGTTTTATAGCACGTGGTTCCCAAAGGGTTATAACAAAGGATTACCGTGCTTTAGATATTTCGCTTCTTGCCAGAACTAAACGATCTTCCAGTTGTTTCGCAAGATTGCAGTAGTTGGCCACATATTCTAATCGTTCAAGTGAAAGTGAATTCAGCTCCTCCATGATTACGACCACTGAAAAGTGATGGCATGAGCAAACAACTGCTCAGAAATTTAGGGAGAGTCGAAACCAAAAACTTGGGTAGCTGAACACATTTGAATGTAACACAAGATAGAACCTTGAAAGGGAGAAGAGAAAAGATCTTCAGGCACTCATCAATCCTTAAAAGATTCGCCAAGTATCTGTCTCTAGCGAGCGACTACCGATGCCTAGAATTAAAGTGTTGTTATCCTTCCAAAGAAGTCCGCCACCAATTTACCGACCTCTGAGGGATGAAAAGCGTGCTAAGCCTCGTGTAGAGTTCGAACCACCGACAATCGATTGATCGATGGTCACAGAGCACCTCTATCCACTGCACTACACACGCTCTCGATGTAAAGATTGAAAAAAGCTCTCGGCGTTAATCAATCCCTGAAGGTTGCGCCATGCATTCATCTTCAATTTTTAATTTCGTTTGAGGTGACTGAATGCATATATGGCCTTTGCAGTGACTCGCGGTGACCTCCCGCTGAACCGAGTCAGTGCTGCTTAGCCTCCAAGACAAGTCTGAGACCAGTCTGGTACCAATTTACGGACCCCGGAGGGATGGATGGCTTGGTGAGCCATTGCGCGGGATCGAACCACTAACCTCGTGTGCGACGCAGAGCACCTCTAACCACTGCGTCACATGCGTTTGTTTATCCTTGATGTAAAGATTATTTTTCAAAAATACTTCTAGCAATCAATTCGTTTTGCCGTCTTGTTCTCGAACGTCGTAGAAAACCGGTTGAGCGCGTAGAGATCTTTCTGATTAGGAGGGGACAAATGAAAAAACCGAACTCATTCGCTGGAGATGAGAAGCTTTCATATGGGTATTAGTAATCACTGGAAAGCTGAGATTTCAGGCTACAGCCCTACATACCCAATTTTTCAGAACACACTTTTATAACGTTGTGATCTCCACACACAATTCTGTCTCAGACGCGTAAAATATTTTTCGCCGGACAGAGGTCCTTCTTTCGAATGATTACTAATAGATCTTTGACATCGACTGGTTTTTAAACCTCGCAATAAACATTCGAAATAATTCCAGAAGAAGAATGTCTAGAGCCTAAACGAGGTTTGTACGCCAGGGTCATACACCGGTATTTCGGCCTCCTCCTCAGTGACCCACGACCCACATTAAGCCCTGCATTTAGGTTGAGGCTTTGAGCATTCTTTTTTGGAATGATTACTCATAGTCCAAAAAGAGCTCTGTCCGGCGAGAAATCTACACGTCTGCAATGCGAAAAATCTGCTTCTATGGCTACGTCAAAAAAGGGTGTGTTGGAAAACCGGCGACGTGTGACTGTAGCCTGAAGTCTCAGCTTTCGAGTGGTCACGAACACTGTCATGAAATACCAATAATGTAGAGTGCTGTGCAAAAACATTTGCGCTAGCCGGGATTCGAACCCTGATCTCACTCTTTCCGAGAGAGTATGCTAACCGTTGCACCACCGGTATACTGTAACATCATACCACTGCAAGTGGCAGTCAAATAAAAAGAATTCTGACTGATTATCGATACCCAATGCTTGTCAATACAAGTGGGTTCAATGCCGATAGCGGCTGCCCCGCCAGACCTTCGACGGTTGGCTGTTGACAGGTAACGCCTTGTAGCGTACAAAGTGCTGCGCAAAACGTGGCGTCGGTAGTGCAACGGTTAGCATACGCTCCCGGAAAAGTGAGATCTGGGTTCGAATCCCGGCTGACGTAAATGTTTTTGCACAGCACCCCACACTCTTGAATATATTATAAGAACATACCATGGCAGGAGGCGGTCAAATAAATGAAATCCGATTGCTTATTGATACTCCCATGATAGGTTCCTCTCCAGCGATTGAGGTCGGTTTTTCGTTTGTTCCCTTGTAATCCAAAGAAAGAACAAGCGCGTTTCCTCGTAATCTAGAGGCTAGCCAAGCTGCTGTGGCGTTCCAAAGGGTCTTCGTTGCTGACCGCCGGAGAGTGTTGGGGATGTGGTTCGATCCTACGCGCGCCGCGACAAGCATCACAACCACTCGGCCACGGCACATCACTATTACTATTAGTAGTAGACAAAAATCAGTGGAAAAGTAGTAGACATTTTGAACGGATAATGACATGAGCAAAGAATTGCTCAGCAATTATAAATCGACTTCTTTCGATTTTCGTTGATACGGTAGAGGACTGAATGGTGCAACTGCGTACGCGGTGAGCAATTTCTCGTCCAGAAGTCCACATGTATGACGCAACAGGTCGCGCGGCCGCATTGCCTCGTGTACCGTCTGGCTGCTTGGCCTGGATGACATGCATTGAGATCAATGCGTACATTCATGGCCGTTGCGGCTCGTACGCATTGATTTCGATGCACACTCTCTTCTTATTGACTTCGTTCTCTCGAAGCGATTTTTGACACTTGTGTAGCCGTTCGATGACTTGTCCATCATTGAAGTTGTGATCTACGCTGGTCGGAAACGCGTCTGTTTTGTACTTGGTTAAACATAGAAGAGCCGCTTTCCGAACTTAGCCATTTGCCGGTAATTTAATATGCAATTCAATTATTTCATCTTAACCCAGCCCCTAATTTTCCAACCCTATCCCTTTTTTTCTTTTCCCTCCTCACCTCCCGTATCGTTTACCCACCCCAGTTTGATTGGGAGGTGTTTTTGGGTGCGGGATTGCGAAGCACAGCGGGGGTTCAACCTCCCAGCAAGGCCATCCAAGCTGAAGAGGATCCGACGTTTTCACCCGGAAAGCCCAGCTGAGACTAAACCCCATCCCAGGAGTGACCGACCGCCGCTTGGTAGCTACTAGTGTCGAGGTGGTAATCTCCCTCTGATCCGCAAAGACTGGCGACTACTCCAATGTGGTGACGACCTGAGGAAGCCCCTGCAGGCTGGGCTTGCCTCGGGATTCCAGGGGGTAAAACAGGTAAACCATCATATTTTTGTGGCTGGGGTCCGCCCAGTTTGAAGACGGCTGTACAATATCTAAACATATAAAAAGGATAAAGGATAAAGCTCTCGGCGTTGATCAATCCCTTAGGGATGCGTTATGCATTCGACTTCAATTTCTAACTTCGTTTGAGGTGATTGAATGCATATCTGGCCTTTACAATGACTCGCGGTGGCCTCCCGCTGAACCGAGTCAGTGCTGCTCATCCTCCCAGACAAGTCTGAGACCTGCCTGGTACCAATTTACCGACCCCGGATGGATGGATGGCTTGGGGGGCCGTGAGCGCGAGATCGAACCATTGACCTCGTGTCATCTAAACATATATACATATATAAATATTTATCTATTTATAAGAGCGCATGTGGCGCAGCGGTTACAGGTGCCCTGCGTCGCACACGAGGTCAATAGTTTAATCTCGCGCTCATGGCTCACCAAGCCATCCATCCCTCCAGGGTCGGTAAATTGGTACCAAAGTGGTTTCAGACCTGTGTGGGAGGATGAGGAGCACTGACTCGGTTAAGCGGGAGGCCACCGCAAGTCATTGTAAAGGCCAGATATGCATTCAATCACCTCAAACGAAGTTAGAAATTGAAGACGAATGAATGGCGCACGAGAGCTTTATCCTTATATACATACACATATATACATACATATATATACATATATATACTTATGCACACCTATATGTATGCATGTATATACGTATATATGTACACATACATCCATGTAAACGTGTATATATATATATATATATATATACGTGTATGTATATGCACACGTATATATATATACATATATATGTGTGTGCATGGACATATACAAGTTGCGGAAAAGTTCTGACAATTTTTCAAAATATTTCAACATTGGAGGCGCCTTGGCCGAGTGGTTGTGATGCTCGTTGCGGCACGCGTGGAACCAAAGTCCGCCAGCAAGAGCGCCCTGTGAGCACCACAGCCGGGCTATCCTTGAGATCGAAAGGTGATATGCCCGACCAGTATTCTACGTCATTCAGGAAGACGAAAAATGGATTGGATGCTAGTAGTGAGAGTTGCGCAATTGAAACTCTGATGACATCTGCAGTTGAAAATTACTTGGATATTGGGCAGCCCGTCTTCGTTGACCCTGGAATCCCGAAATAAGCCTAGCCTGCGTTTCCTCCGCTCATCACCACATAACAGTAAAGTAGTCGTCGGCCTTCGTGGATCAGAGAGAAATTACCACTTTGCCGCTACTAGCTACCGAGACAACGGTCCTCCTGATTCGGTTTACTTTCTCTGGGCGGAAACATCGTACCTCTTCTCAGCTTGGTTAACCCTGCGGAAAGGGGGGGAGGGGTTTGAACTCCCCGCTGTACTTCCCAGTCGGACACTCAGGATCACCTTCCGGCTATCCAGTTAATGTCGCCTTTTCTTCTCTTGGAAAGCAAAGTTCCTGATGACTGAAAACTGGCATCTCATGGGTGGGAACGGAGAAAATCACATGAGCAACCAGATGGTTATATTTTTATTTTATTCCATTTGATTATCTTATTTGTTTATTACTATTTTTTTGCTATTGTTCTCTATTCTCTTTCACTACTCTCTATTCCCTATGAGAGGATTTTGCCGAGTGGCTATTGACGCTCGACGCGGAATTGATCCCGCCGCTTCCCAGCACTCTCCAGCAATCAATAACTAATGCCGATGGGACGCCCCAGCCTGGCTATCCGCGCGATTCAAGAAGACGTGCTTGACCAGTGTTTTACGACGTTCGTCACGACGTGATGAAATCCTCGAGCAAAGGAGGAAGCGAATCGAATGCTAGAGGTGCTGAGACCCGCACAGTAGAAAGAAGAACTGTGATACGGGTCAAATAAGGCGGTAAGATGGTTGTCTGTTTCTATCACTCTTCTGTTACTTTATTTGATCCGTTTGATCCGTCACACAGTTTTTTCTCTCACTTTCAGGATCTCAGTGCTTCTAACATGCAATTCGCTTTTCGCTTCTTGAACATCGTAGAATAATGGTCGAGCAGTCTCCTTGCAATCGCGAGGATAGCCTGGCTGTGGCGATCCATAGGCGTTCGTTGGTGACCACTGGAAAGTCTTAGGTGCCGGGATCAATCCCGCAATGAGCATCATAACCACTCGGCCACGACAGACAAAGCTCTTGGCGTTGATCAATCCCTGAGAGATGCGCCATGCATACGTCTTCAATTTTTAACTTCGTTTGAGGTGATTGTATGCATATCTAACCTTTGCAATGACTCGCGGCAGGCTATCGCTGTATCGAGTCACTGCTGCTTATTCTCCCAGACAAGTCTGAGACCAGTCTGGTACCAGTCTAGTGACCCTGAAGGGATGGATGACTAGGTAAGCCATGAGCGCGAGATCGAACCATCGACCTTGTGTGAGCGACGCAGAGCACCATTAACCACTGCGCTACGTGTATATTGTTTAATTTGTTCTTATTTATTGTATTGCAAAAACACGGCTTCAGGAGAGAATCGAACCCGCGTTTCATCCTATCCGGGGCGTGTGCTCTACCACTACATCACCGGGGCACATTTGTCCGACCAATCATTCTTCAACATCTCTGTGTTAGCTATTAGCCACCAACCTTTGACAGGTTTGGTCGGGTATGCAATTTCGCTTTATAAAACCAGTTGAGCTGACAGCTATTCTAATTCTCGAAATTTCTAATATCTTTACTGCTTTTTTTCGCAGTGTTATGATATTTCGTATAAACACAAGAGAATTGAGTGGTTCGATTTCCACCTATGGCCTGTTTTTGCTAACGACTCAATTTTCTCAGGTATATATGTAATTTAATAACACTGCGAAAAAACAGTGAAAATACTAGAAATTTCGAGTATCAGTGATTAGAATGGCTGTCAGCTTTACTGGGTTTATAAAGCGAGATCGCATACCCGACCAAACCTGTTGAAAGTTGGTGGCTGATAGCTAACATTGAGATGTTGAAGAATGAGTGGTCGGGCAAATGTGCCTCGGTGATGTAGTGGCAGAGCACGCGTACCCGAATAGGATCAAGCGCAGGTTCGATTTCCGACTGAGGCCTTGTTTTTGCTCACCACTCAGTTCTCTTAGGTATATACGAAACATCATAACGCTGCGAAAAAAATGCATTAAAGACACTTGAAATTTCGAGTATTTCTGTGTTGCGTTACGTTTTACCGTTTCATCGTATGTTTCATTCGTGACGTGATCAGTAATACCCTCGATGGCTTATGAAAAAATACAAAGTATGTAAGATAAGAGCGCATGTGGCGCAGTGATTAGAGGTGCCCTGCGTCGCACACGAGGTCAATGGTTCGATCTCGCGCTCATGGCCCACCAAGCCATCCATCCCTCCGGGGTCGGTAAATTGGTACCAGGCAGGTCTCAGACTTGTCTGGGAGGATGAGCAGCACTGACTCGGTTCAGCGGGAGGCCACCGCGAGTCATTGTAAAGGCCAGATAGGCATTCAATCACCTCAAACGAAGTTAGAAATTGAAGTCGAATACATGGCGCATTCCTTAGGGATTGATCCGC